GGGAGAGAGAGAGAAAGAAACACCAACCAGGAGTCTGACCAGAAATCAAATCCACCACTTTAAAAAAAAAATCTTTTATTGATTTTTCACAGAGAGGAAGGATGAGGGACAGATAACTAGAAATACTGATGAGAGAGAATCATCGACCAGTTGCCTCCTGCACACCCCCTACTGGGGATGTGTCTGCAACCAATGTACATGCCCTTGACAGGAATCAAACCCGGGACCTTTCAGTCCGCAGACCAACGCTTTATCCACTGAGTCAAACCTGTTTTGGCCAAACCCACCGAAGTGCTGCTCCAACCAACTGAGCCTCACTGGCCAGTACATTTCATTCTCATTTTGTCTTCCATGCCCCTCTTCCTGGATTATTTTGAAGCAAATCCTAGACACCATAGCATTTTGCCTGTAAATATTTCAGTATGCATGTGCTCTGACTGGGACTTTAACTCTGACCTTCTGGTTCATAGGTCAGCACTCATCCACTGAGCCAAACAAGCCAGGCTGTTTTCTATTTTATTTTCTATTTAACTGATTCCATTAAAATTGGTATTTATGCCCTCACTGGTTTGGTTCAACAGATAGAGCATCGGTCTGCAGACTGAAAGGTCCCAAGTTTGATTCTGGTCAAGGGCATGTACCTTGGTTGTGGGTACATCCCCAGTAGGGGGCGTGCAGGAGGCATCTGATTGATATTTCCCTCTCATCAATGTTTCTAACTCTCCTCCCTTCCTTTCTGTAAAAAATCAATTAAATATATTTTAAAAATAAAATAAAATTGGTATTTATATTAAAATAGCTCTTTAAAAAAAACATCCAAAATATCTTAAAAAAATTAACAATGATTCCTGAATATAATCCAATACCCAATCAAAATTTCCCATTAAAAAAACAGTTGGCTCATTCTAATCAAAAGGCAAATAAGACCAAACACTACATTGATTGATGTTTCTTAAAACTATTAATCTTTTGATTCTCTTTTCCTCAAAATATAATGTTGAAGAAAATAGACTGTTTGCTTTATAGCTTTCTACGTTATATATTTTGGAAATTATATTCTCAAGATACCATTGAATATATTCTGTCCCTTTTATTTCCTATAAACTGCTAGTTAACACTAATGGTTTGATATTATTTAGTTTTTTTGGGGGGGTAAGACTCCTTCAAAGACGATTATGTGTACTTCAGTCAGCAGACACATAATGTCTGGTTTCTTTTTGTTATGCTAGGAGCTATTGATTATCATTGCCTAGATCTATTATTTCATTAGGGGTTACCACCATCCCATTTGTTTTTTGCGTTATTTCATTTTGTTTTTCATGATATTGACGAGTCTAGGCTAGATATTGTGGGGATTATCCCCCTAAATTTGATTATTTCAGATGTCATTTAACTTGTTCCTTTTCTCCCTGAAAGTTTCTGTAAGTGGATGTTATAGCTTAAATATTGATTAGATTGGAGTTAATATTGTTGGCATTATTACTTCATAGGCGATATTGAGTACTTGCTATTACATTGTGTTAGCAGGTACATATCGTCTGTGTGCACTTATTTTGAAGGTCCCTCTGCAAATCATGTCAATACCCAGCAAAGGGTAAAATAATTTGACTCTCATTGTTTAAAAAGGCTTTTAAAATAATGTAATGCTTTAACTTTAGTCAAGAATAAATCTTTCATTTTGTTTCTGAAATTTAACTTTGAATATAAACATAAAACTATGAGATAATTTTCAATTGATGGTTAATATAATCTTATTTTTCTAGACTATTTTTTTCTTTTTATTATGAAGACCTTCTAATACATACAAAAGGTAGGCAGAACAATATAATGACAATTCTCATGTACTCACCACCCAGCTTCAGCTAACGGTTAATGTTCTTTCATCAAGCTTCCCATCCACTTCTCCTTTCCTATATTATTAAATTTAAAAGAGAGAGAGAGAGAAAGAGAGAGAGAGAGAGAGAGAGAGAGAGAAAGAGAGAGAGAGAGCGAGCGCGCCAAAACCGGTTTGGCTCAGTGGATAGAGCATCGGCCTGCGGACTGAAAGATCCTGGGTTCCATTCGGGTCAAGGGCATGTACCTTTGTTGTGGGCACATCCCCACATCCCCAGTGGGGGGTGTGCAGGAGGCAGTGATTGATGTTTCTGGCTCTCTATCCTTCTCTCTCTCCCTCTCTGCAAAAAACAAAACAAAAACAAACAAACAAAAAAACCAACAAAAAAAAACCAAACCCACAAACCAACCCAAACTCAATAAAATATATATTTTTTTAAAAAAGAGAGAGATATAACTTACATGCCATAAAAGTCACCCTTTCAATTGTACACCTCAGTGGTTTAAATATATTAACAAAGTTGTATAACCATTACTGTTCAATGATTTTTAGTGTATTCACAGTTATACAACCTTCACAAGTTTCCTTTTAACCTACACATCTTTCCCTCAACTCATTTTCCTTTGCAATTTATTTGTTGAAGAAACTTGTTTGTTTATCCTGGAGAATTTTAATAACCTGGATTTTGCTCTTTGTATCTCTGTAGCATTTTAAAAAATGTTCCACTGTAGTATTTCCCCTGTATTTTCTATAAATTGGTAGTTAGATATAGATGTATGATGAGATTAAGATTCAAATTTTTTCCTACAAGACACGTCATTGTCATCTTTATGTTGTAGAGACACAAGTCTCATCTTTCATTTTGTGATACTAGGATGGTTAATGCTCAATGGGTTGATTTCTAAATTCATTAGGGGCTGCAAAATGGTGACATTCTATCATTCACTTTTTATTTATTACTTGGAATATGTACTTCTATAAAAATAAAATTTACTTTACTATTTGGTCACTCAGTTTCTTTAGAGAATTAACATTTGTTCATTTTGATTTTTATATTTTAGAGCCATAAACTTTTTCTTTCAGGTCCACAGTATTTTCATAAGCAGTGCATTATAGTGTCCAATGGGTAAAATACCTGGCAACAGGGACTGAAGTAGAATAATAAGGTGGAATTAGAAGCACCAAGGGGTACACATCCTCAGCTATAGCAGATTTTCTTTTTTCTCATTATCACTTGAGGTTCTCTCATATGTAAGTTGACCAGACATCCCACTTTTGGCGGGACAGTCCCGATATGGGGCGTTTTAAAAAAGTCCCCAGTAGGGGGTGTGCAGGAGGCAGCTGATGGATGTTCCTCTCTCATGGATATTTCTAACTCTCTATCCCTCTCCCTTCATCTCTGTAAAAAATCAATAAAAATATAAATATTTTTAAAAATCCCAATTTTTGGAAAGAATGCACAAGCTAGGGAACAGAGGGGAGAATGGGAAGGGAATATATGGTTTTCGGCGGCCATGTGGCTATTTAGCCAGGATATGAGTTTTATATTATTTTTGTTAATTTTATAATGTTAAACTTTAATAATAACAAATAATTGTTGAGAATTGATTATCGAGAACTGCTTACCAAAGTTCGCATTGTTGATCAGTTGTTAGAATTCGACCACCATTGTTTGGACTTAATGAACAATGGCATTTTTGGGGCTTGGCAACAACAAAAACATTTTGTAACCGTCTCTCAGGCAATACACATCATACTACGTGCTAGTAAGCTAGTTAAACAAGTGATGTCATTACAAATCAGCTATTCAGATAATTTAGGTAAGTAATTTATTTATTTATTTAAAATACATAAATTGTCTTGAATTTAGCAGACAGTACTCCTATTATTTATATTTTATAGTGGCGGCAAAAAGTCTAGCGCCGGCTTTGAAAGTGACACGACTATACATAATTTTTATTATACTTGTAAATTGTACTTAAGTTGAAATTTAAAAAATATATATTACAATACTATTTTTGCGTTCTATGAAAATTTTTATAGACCAAATTTTTAATCAAGAACCCCACTCTTCTCCCCGGTTAATGGTGTCCCGCTTTACCAATGTTAAAATCTGGTCATCTTAAGATTCTTACTCATATGAAGCAACACACACACACACACACACACACACACACACACACACACACCAGGGAGAAAACCTTGAAAAGTTTTGTTTCCTTTGCGCAATTTACATGCTTTTCCCTCATCGTTGATAAACATCAGTGAACAATCTGTATGTTCCCACTTTGCACCGCGCCCAGTAAGTTCAAAGCCACATTTTCTGTTTAATTTTGGAACAATAGGAACTTCTGACCCGTAACATCTACAATTTCCTTCGCTCTCGATCTGTTCCTGTCTTTCAGCTGATTAAAATTCTCTATGAGCAGAAGGTGTTTGATTGAACAAAAAAGTTTCCACAGCCACCAGTGAGCTATGAAAGTTCCTTTTTCTTGGCACTCTATTCTCGGCTGGGTGTTATTAAAAAAAAATAAAAAAATCTTTACTAACGTAATGATCCAGAGCTAGTATCTCATTGGAGAGAAGGGAGGGGCGTCTTAATTCGTGTTACTATAATTACTGGTGAGCTTGAACATTTTTCCGTGTTTAAAGCTGTTTGCTTGGGACGTGGCTTGTTTTGAATTACGGAGTTAGTCCACTGAAAGACAAGAGAGAGGGAACCCGGGAATACCGCCTTACATTTAAGTTTTGCCTCCGCCCCTGGACTTTCCCCTCCAAAAGAGCCCTTTTTGTGTGTCCTGGGTCAGGGGAAGGGAACGGGATCTCCGGCGGCAAAGCTGGAGGAATACCACGGCCTCCACCTGTGCCTCTCTGTGCACAGGTTACTCTAGCTTCACCTGCCCGCACGGCACTAGCCGTCGCCCGCTCTCTGCGCAGGCGTGGCCTCGCCCACTCAGCCTTCGATTGGCCCACCTGCCGGAGTCGCCGCGGATTGGCTCCCGTGGTGGGTGCGAGCGAGGAGCGGCTGCTTCTGCCTTACTCAGAGCCCACTTTCCCCCCACCCCCAACCATATCTATGGTTACCACGTCTCGCCCCGCCTCCCTCCACTTGTCAAGAAGACGGCCGGCCATTGGCTGCCTGTCACGAAGTCAGCCACTCATTGGTCCCTGGTGAAACCCGGCGCTCCCCCTTCCCTGTCTCCTGGGTCTCTAGAGGAGCCCTGCTAGGAGGCTCGGCTAGTGTTGCCGGGCCCAGGGCTGCCGGGACCGGGCTGCGGCTCTCGCTAGCGGGTCATGTCGGCCGCCCAGGGCTGGGACAGGAACCGCAGGAGGGGAGGAGGCGCCGCGGGCAATGGCGGCGGCGGCGGCGGCGGCGGCGGAGGTAGCGGGGCCGGCGGGGGCAGCGGGGGCAGCGGGGGTCGGGGGACTGGCCAGCTCAACCGCTTCGTGCAACTCTCCGGACGGCCGCACCTGCCAGGTGAGTGGGGGGGCGGGGTCCCGCGGCCCTGACGGCGGGCGGGCGCGGCGGGCCGGGCACTGCTGCCCTTGCTTTTCTCCCTGGCTCTCCGTCCCTCGAGAGGAGGGAGGCAGGCCCCACACTTCTCAGAGGGACCGGGGCTTCGAGAAAAGGAAAGGTGTCTGTGAGGTCAGGGAGGGACAGGAACCCACGGGGGAGAGGGAGGGCGGGTGGTGGTGGTTTATTTTTGTCCTGTTGAAAAGCTTTGTGCTGAGAGTTGTGTTTTCTTTTCAAAGGAGAGCCCGCCGTCTCACTGACCATTCCCCAATGTTTCGCTCACTCGGCTCCTAGTCTCGTCCTTTCCCGCAGAGTTTGATCTTGTCCAAGAAAGTCATTGGCTTCTAGCTGTGGACGTTATGGTTTCAAAGGGTGCCAAATCGAGGAGAGGAGAGGGAAGAGCATCCCAAAGAGTGGTGTTTTTTTTTTGTAAAAACTATCTGGAGTGTGCAAAAAAAAAAAAAAAAAGTTAGGCATTCTGAACCAAGCGAGGAGGATTAGGCGTGGACGGGCTGTTGGGAGGTGGGTGGAACACAGAACCTAGGGAACTAGGGAAAACTTAGTTCCAAGAGAACTAGGGAAAACTAGTGACATTATTCAGAGTGTCCAGAGACAGAATGAATAGGGTGACTGGATTTTAAGAGGAAAAAACGAAGATCAAGAATATACCGCCAAAATTATGCCGTGTCTAACTCTTCAAAAACAGTTGGTTAAGAATGGGGGGGGGGGGAATGTACCCAATATGATTATTTCACGTTTTGGCCCACAATTCCATATCCTTCCGTTCAGGTATCTTAAAAAAAACAAACAAAAAACAAAGACAAGTCAAATTGATATGTGTACAGACCACTGTAACACTATACATTTATAAGTAAATAATGTTAGTAGAAGGAAGGCAGGGAAGTAAATACCTCTCAGAAGGTCAGACATTAATTGGGAAAATCTTCTTTTACCATGAAGAGAACTATCAGGAGGATGGGTTAATTATGCACCATGTTTTTGTGTGACTAATGTTGAAGTTGATTTTATCAGTGATATATTTAGCTGATGAATTTTGAGAACATGGTTGTTGAATTGTGTTTATTATCGTGCCTTGTACTTTTAAGCAGTCAAAAATTGTTATTTGGATTAATTTGAGGCTAACAAAGGGAATTTTGCACATTCAATGAGACAATTGCTTATGTCTGTGGTACACTTATTGATGTGTGGTAGAAATACACATTAGCCCATTTTTAATGCGCCTTTGAAATTAACATTAAAGTACTATTGAATAGTCACATGTATAATGCACCAGGAGTTGGGTTTGAGTGGGTAGTATTAGATTGGGTATTTTACAATCACTAAATGGTATGTGATCGTTAACATGAAAAAGAAAACAGGAGTCTTTTTTTTTTTTCCTCACCCCAAGTTAATAACAGAAACTTACATTTTTGTGTATGGACAGATTAGAAGATGAATCTGTTACCGAAACCTACCACCAGCTTACCCTTTGCTGCTGAAATCTTTAGGTCTTTGATCTTAGATTCAGTATACCTTGGGCTTCAGAGACATTCCCGGGCTTCAAGAACCTGGTTGATGCACTTTCTCACTGCTGCCACTAGGTGGCAGCGGAAGCCATGATTTCTGATAAGGGGCCTCAGTGTGGAGCTATTATTTCTGTATTCCCTTATCACGAAAGGCCAAGAATGGCTGTTTGTCCAGAGGTAAAGATAAACTTGTTTAAACCGTAAGAATTCATGCCTTGGGGTCATCAGCCTCTTTCTTTTTCTAATTCTACTTTCTTTTTCATTCCCCAAGTAGGCAGCCTCTGTTTTTCCTTTATTCTCAGAATTGGAAACATCTGATACCGCAATATATACTTTGAAATTCTTTCACACCAAGGCTTTCTTTTCCGAAGTATTGCATTTAAGCTTACCCTCCCCCTTATTTTGAGATGTTTAAAAATATTTTAGGTGATGGAGAGGGATAGAAACGTCTAGGCCTGTTTTATGGCTGAAGGTAAAAAAATAAACAAATAGATATTTATACCTGGAGGTAAAAAATAAACAAATAGATATTTAGATTTTTTGCAGCTAATGTTCTCTTTCCTTTGAATCTAATCCCATTTTCCATTTTTCATCCTTTTCTACAAAAATTTCCAGATGAGCACCCAGGTCCCTTTCTTACATTTTGTGCAGCTCCCCTCTATTTTTCTCTCATTGAAACAAAACAGAAAAATCTGGTCTTCCTGGAGCATTCTTCCAGTGATAGCACGCTGACCCATGTTGTTATGCAGATTTAAAATTTGGACATCTTCTTTAACATTTTCTTTTCCTTTGTATTTCAAGTATAATCCTATATATTTTATAAAACAAAGTCCTATTTATTTTATTTCTGCTCTAACTCCAGTCAATGCTGCTGTCATCTATCATGTAGGTCTCCTGTAGTAGCTTTCTAAGCAGTCTTCTGATTCTACTCTTGCCCGCATTTTGTAAGCATTCCCATCTCTGTTTATATCCCTTTATTAGTTTTTCATTGCTTTTAGGATAAGGCAAAAATCCTTAATATGGCCTAAAAGGCTCTACACAGTTTATAGTTAACTCTCTAGTTAATTCTACATTATATGGTCTTACCCTTTGATCTTTTCCCACCTAATTAGACATATTATGCTTCTTTTTGCCATAGAGCCATTGCACCTGCTATCCCATCCTTCAGGAACCCTCTTGCTCACCATTTTCTCTCTCTCTTTTTTATTTTACGTTTCTTCCATTGGATCTCAGCTTGATCACACTGTTTTTTCAGGGAAGTCTTCTCAGACCTTCTGATTTATTCTTTTCTCCCTATACACACTCATAGCACCATATGGTTACCTGCGTATATTCTCCATTTGTGTGTGATTCCGTGATATGCATGAATTGATACTCTACACACACACACACACACACACACACACACACACACGGTGTCCCAAAAATGTATACACACTTGGGCTGCCATTATTAATTCCAATGGGTTAAATCTGAAAACAAAGAAACCATCAATTGAGCTATCAACTGTTAAAATGTGTATACATTTTTGGGGAACACACTTGTATATGTACTCACTTGAAGTGATATATGTATATACACATAACTACTTATATACATATATATTCTTAAATTCTAAATTAACACATTGGCATTATGTGTAAGCAATTAGTTTCTTGTGAATTCAATTTAATTGATGTGGTTCATTCCTCTAGAGCAGGGGGGGGGGACCTTTTTCCTGCCAAGGGCCATTTGATATTTATAACATCATTTGAGAGCCATAAAAATTATCAACTTAAAAATGAGCCTGCAGTCAAACATTTAATTAACTCACTCCTAATGCCTTGGCAGGGCCAGGCCAAATGATTTTTGAGGGCCTTCTATGCCTCGTGAGCCAGATATTTCCCACCCCTGCCCTAGAAGCTCCACTGACTCTGGACAAATGGGTAAAAATCAAGTTCTTAAACATGAAAATAGTGGACGGGACTCTCCATAGTGACAGCACAAATGATATTTTGTGATACTTTGTTTGAGCAGCCTCTTCTTTTTGCTGTCTCCTAAAATAGAGTAGTGACTGTTTGCCCCTAGGCCAAGAAGTTTCGTAGGTTCTTGGTCCTGGATTTTGACTAACTCACAATCTCCATGCATACAAAGAATAGGGAACAGGGCTTTTTGTAGAGGAGTGTGCAGTGGCAGAGCTCATGAGGAAGGAAATGATGGGGATAATGGAACCCAAGTTAAGACTAATTGTGAGTTTGATTAAATACCATGTACAGTATTAGGTGGGGAAACAGTTAAAACATTATTGCTAATGTAGGAATTAGAAAAGGGATAAAAAAAAAAAAAAAGGGAAAATAGAACATTTGGTAAAGCTGGGTAAAAATAATACTGAAATCTTAATGTTTTAAAATGTGATATATGTTTGTGATATAAAATCCAAATGATACAAAAGAGCATGTGTTAAAAGGCAAGTTTTCCTTCCACATTTGATTTCAGTTAATTGGCTTCCTTCCCAGAAGCAACCAGTGATAATTTTTTTGTGTATCTTCGCCAGAGAGATGTGAGGTTGGGCGGAGGGGAGGGAGGATGGTAGCATTTCTTTGTTTGTCTGGGCATTTAAAATGTATACAGTTGTGCTAATACAAATGATGGTACAATGAATATTGTGCATATATAACTTTGTACATTGAGTGAGTCTGACTTTAGGATATATTCCTAGAAGTTCAATTGCAGGTCAAAGGATATGTACTATTTACATTTTTTTTTCTATTTTTGTTGTTGTTGTTGTTGTTGTTTGTACTATTTAAATTTTGATAGATTTTTGTTAAATTGCCCTCCACAGTTTATGTTCCACTATTGGTGTTGGAGTATTGACTTCCTATATACCCTTGGTATCAGAGTAGGTTATCAAACTTTTTAAAATTGCCAGTGTAATAGGTATGTTTTTTCAGTAGGTATAAGAACCTTATTTCTTTCCTTTATATGCAAATATAGCATTTGCTTATATTTTTTATTCATCTGGATATGTATTTTTTGTTAATTTTTCTATTGGCATGTTTAATACTGTTTATGGGAACTCTGTTCTTAGGAAATTTTATAAAATTGTTGCAGACATTTTTCACAATTTGTCACTTGACTTTTAGCTTTGTTTAATAGAGTATAACTTTAAAAGAAATGAAAACATTTTATAGTTGTAATTATCAATCTCTTTTGGATTTTAAATTTTGTGTCATAAGATAGGGTCTTCCCTATTTCAACACTATTTCTAACTAAAATTAAATTCTTGTTTTTCCCCCTGATATTTTAAATGCACTTATCCATACAAAATATAACTTGTGTAAAGATAGAGGTGTATAGGAATCCAACTTTACTTTCCTTCCAGGTGGCTACCCACTTATCACAGAACTGAAATATTGTCCTTAGGTATATTTAGTTCCTACATAAAATTTTGGTTTCTAT